CACTGTAAAAAAATCACTTGCATGTCTTTTGCTTACTGATGGCTCCCAATGTGGCAATAAAAGCAATAACTGTAAGTGGTAAACTTGCAGAAATAGCATAATTTGTTTAGGCTAGTGGACATGGGATCAAGAGGTCACTGGTTCGATTCCTGACATTCCTGGCTTGATGCTGTGTCCTTCAGAAAGACACCTTACATTTACTTGGACTTTCACGCACTACACCCAGATGTTAGTGTATAGAACCTGTATTAGGTTGCAGACTGAGGTAAAAAGGTGCTCATTCAATACCATGTCCAAGACACAACTTAGATTAACAACCTCTGTAGAAGACCTAAAAAGGCTCTGGGAGATTTCTAAACTTGCAAAAAAGACTTCTTCAAGCATAGACAATATACCATGGCACTGTCAAATGAAAGACTAGGCAAACCATAGCAAAAATATACAGAGGTTTGAGCTCTTATATTGTCCAAAACCACCCCTTGGACTTACATGTATGTACAGGGGTACCAGAGTATACAGTGCAATTTTACGGAATACAGTGCAATTTTGGGGAATACACTAAACTTATACCTTTGTATTAGTATACAGTGCAATTTTATGAAATACAGTGCAATCGTATTTAGTATACAGTGCAATTTTACTTAGTAAAATTGCACTGTATACTAGTCAAATTGCACTATATACTACTAGTAATACGATTGCACTGTATGCCGTAAAATTGCACTGTAGACTTATACCATTGTACTGTATTCCATAATATTGCACCGTACACTAGTAAAATTGGACACTGTATTCTGTAAAATTGCACTGTATTCTGTAAAATTGCACTGTATTCGTAAAATTGTACTGTATACTCAGGCACCCTGATCTAGCAGGTAAAAGGTTACTCTATACTACAAAAATCTGTAAATGGTGACAACCCTTCAATCACGGTAGACCAAACAGAAAGTTCCTAACCTTCACTTTGTCCGGGATCCCTACTGTCAAACCTATGCTACATAGCTATAACTTCTGCTATACAGCCTTGATATTACACCAATAAATTTGGGATGTGACCAAAGTCGTGACAGGTAACAGTTATTGGAACGGTTACACAGGATATAAAAGGTCAGCTGCAGCCTGCTTTTGATTTAAAGTGAGAGGAAATAGTTCAAGGATAGCCTGTTTTGACTTTGAAGGGCAGTGCATTCTCCCTGTAGGGGTAGGAGTAGTGATGCATAGTATTACCTAAACCCAATTCTAGGTTCAGGTCCGGATTCAGGTCCAGAGGTTTAGGTTCAGTTCCGGACCTAAACCCATGGCATATACAAATTGCATGTTGGCAACCTTGCAATATGTTGTCTGGGTGAAACTTTGGCCACATAACATGGAGGCCGGTACTTGACGATGCCCAATGGCAATGTTTTCTTCATTTTGCAGCAAAGATTTTGCAATCTACGGAAGGTTTTAGGTGGTTTGGAAAGAAAAGGGGTATGTGAAATGATCTTTTATGGTAATAAGTCCGGACTCGGTTCTTGAGTTTTACGTTTTTTTGGACTTGAACCTAAACATTCTTACAAGTCCGGATCCAAGTCCAGTGAACCGGTATGCATCACTAGGTAGGAGGCTATAAAACAGCTATTAGATCACCAATCACTTCAGCATTCATCCTTCCTTCCTTAGGTCAATTTAATTTGTTGTTTCTTGGATTCGCCCTGTCCATTTTTTTCTGATTTGCAAAAAAAAAAATTTTCATTCTAAATTAACTGCAAAATGCTCAATGAAAGACATATTTGGGCCCCAACTGTTGAAGGAAGTCCTTTTCTTCCTAGTTTTTCAATGTAACAATAAATTTTGTTTCATTAAGGCCACACCAATTTAATTTCTTGGTTAACGGATTTTTCCAGAAAAATAATGGAGCAGGCGGGACGAAAAAAAAAATTAATAAAAACAGGCCTAGGCATCCTATTATGGTCCAAAATGGTACGATAGGAGCCATGAAGTCAACACACCAGGCTGGTTCAAAATTTAAACAATGAATTTTGAACTTTTAATGATACCATTGCATTGAAAGATGGAATAACTGTAACAAGTAGGATGAAAAAGACTTTTCAACTGTTCAGGGCAAAATATGTGAGCATTTTGCAGTTGATTCTGAATTTTTATTTTTATTTGCAAATCAGAAAAAAATGAAGAGGCGAATCCGTTAACCAAGAAATTAAATTGGTGTGGCCTAAAAGTTCAAAATCTATTGTTTTAATCATAAACCAGTCTGGTATGTTGACTTCATGGCTCATATTGTAACTTTTCCGGCTATCATGGGGTTCCTTGGCTTTTTTTTTCTTTTTTCTTTGCCCAGTCACTTCATATTTTTTATGAAAAAATCTGAGAAACAACAATCTAAATTGGTGTGTCCTTAGATGAAATTTCAGCCATTTTGCCCCCCCTTGACAGATGAAAACCCAAAACCTGTTAGATTTTCATCAGGTTATTAATAGTGTCACAAAACGATTGCAAAATAAAGATGATGCATAAAATTGCTGCTTCAGCACCAAGGAAAGCCACCAGGGGGGCCCAAAATCTTATCATATCCTAAATTTCTAACAGACTATCCTACAATGGTACATTTTCTGCAAGTTATTAATAGTGTCACAAAACGATTGCAAAATAAAGATCGATGCATAAAATTGCTGCTTCAGCACCAAGGAAAGCCACCAGGGGGCCCAAAATCTTATCATGTCCTAAATTTCTAACAAACAATCCTACAATGGTACATTTTCTTCAAGTTATTAATAGTGTCACAAAACAATTGCAAAATAGAGATCGATGCATAAAAGTGCTGCTTCAGCACCAAGGAAAGCCACCAGGGGGCCCAAAATCTTATCATGTCCTAAATTTCTAACAGACTATCCTACAACGGTACATTTTCTGCAAGTTATTAATAGTGTCACAAAACAATTGCAAAATAAAGATCGATGCATAAAATTACTGCTTCAGCACCAAGGAAAGCCACCAGGGGGCCCAAAATCTTATCATTTCCTCAATTTCTAACTGACAATCCACCCGTAGCTTCTTGAGTTTTGCTGCCTTGACCACAACACTGTTACACACATCACACATGCTAGTAAAACATGTTACAGTTACACAATGTAATGTACCTTCTTGGAAATAGCGAATATACTAAGCGTTTCTTTAGAAGACATATCACCTTTTGCTTGCAATAAAACCTTTCAAAAATTGCTTGTAAAGCATTCTACAGATACTCAATCTCCAAGCAGATCCCTTAAAGTGGCAAGACAGTATCCATTAGCCAGAGAAGGCTGCCGGCCACCGACAGTGGGGGTAGCGACAAAAAAAACATGGCCATAAATAAAAAGCTAACGATCATTCCCCCACAACCTCTGCTTGGCGAGTACTGCCCTGGCAAAAGTTAAAAACATGCATTCAAAATCTGCCATGAAAATAACAGTATCCTTTTAGCTTTGTACCAGTGTGGTACATGTAAAAGATATTTGTACAGTCCTTTTATACTGCTACAAAATGCACTGTGTTCTGTGATATGTCTTTCAGAGGCTATTGCCCAAAGTGGCCATCACTGTGCTTTCACGCCAACAGCTTTCAAACCTTCCCTTCTAAAGTGCAAACCATTTCCCCTCCTAGTACATCACTCTAAATCAGGTTCAAAGTCTTCTTGGTTCCAAGAAAACCCTCCCGCTACACATGTGACAAATGGGATCCCAGAAAGTGCGAAATGGCACGAAATGGAACGAAATGAAACAAAATAGGTATGGAGGAAAGCCATTAAGCCGTTCGTACGTTGGAACGGCGACGTCAGTGTCCGCTCAACGTGCAAACGGCAACGTTAAGATTGATGGTATTCTTAGAACTGCAACGTTATAAGATTGATCGGGGTACGTTAAGAATAAAGTGACCACAACATTATAAGGTACGTTAACAATAAATTGAGTTTTGATTTGATCAGTCAAAGTGTGCGGACATGTTTCTTTGTGGTCTCTGTCTGTCCTAGCGGTATGCCCACGGGGAAGAATTTTATCACCAGCCCTTACATGTAAACACAATGAAATGAAATAGATAGCAAGGAACGGAACTGTTTCAAATTCCATTTCATTCCATTTCGTTCCATTTCGTTCCATTTCGCACTTTCTGTACACCGTGACAAATCCATTGGCACGGAAGTTTGCTGAAGCCACTTAGAGCTTGCAGGCCAGAGTCACTCCAATTGTATACACATGTACACATGGCTACCATAATGGAACACTGTGTTAACAAGATTTAGGGTTAACACACGGTCACACTACTGTGTATGCCGCCCCATCTGACCCTGACTTTCCTCCAATCCAGCCTAAGTGGTTCACGTTTTGGTCTTGTTCCAACAACTGGTGTATATTGGAGGGTACTGGCCTTATTCTGTCTTTTTGGCATGTGGAACTAGATTGTATATTGCATATACTTTGGCCCGAATCTAACACATGTCAAAAGAGTGACAAGAGTGGATTTCGGTGTGTTATTCTTCAATAATGTACGTGTAGTTGTGTGTTATTCGTCAATATTGTATTGTGTAGGGGTGGATAATTGTAGTGTGTTCGGTTACTACTAAGTGTTACCTACTTGGCAGGATACAATGAAACATGTGCAATGAGTTTTCTGTAATATATCATTAGAATCACAACTTCCAACACAGTTGTTGGTTTCCAACATAGCCTTTGCCATTACATGTAACGTTACATGTACATGTATATGAATATCAGATTCATAGAATGTACAATGTACATGCAAATATGGAAACTCAACAACATGTACTTGAAAAGGGGAGCAAAATATATAATGAAATGTATATTTACTAAGATTATATGAATGACAGTGCATCATAGTTCATGGTTTTCACCATGGAAAGTGACTAGTCAAAAGCTCTAGGTGAGAGAACTTTTGTATTGGACCAAAAGTTTTAACTTTAAACATGTAACTACCAACACAGATGAACTTTCATGAGAGTGCGTTACCTGCTGTGCTCATGCCAGAAGCCAATCACATGACCAAGTTCGTGGACAATCACGCCGAACAGCGCACAGTGGGGGGAGATGGAGACCTTCTGACGACCGTTTCCACGACGGCCGACAAATGAGCAGCATCTGGAACACATTTTACAATACATTTTGTACATTCATTTGATGACCGTGCCCTGAAACATACTGATAGGTGAAACGGAACGGTCACTGAAAACTGAAAACACTGATTTTTGGAGCACAGGTGCCCCAGTTCCACTACTTCAAAGTTTCACAACACATACATATATAGTCCCTGGGCCACACAGTTACACTGGATAAGGTACGAATATTGGACACTGAGAAGGTACTACTTTGTGAGGGGTGTGAAGGAGGAGATTTACATTAGGGCCCATCAACCCTGAGGCTCTGAACCGTGATGGTGGTAGATTCGGTCTTCCCGCCACTTTTGATGCACTCCTGACGCCATCACGCTTCCAACTTCCGGAAAGTAATCAGCGATTGCATCACACATCTGATAAAGGTTGACGGGTTCAGCCGAAAATTTATGGTTGGTTCCTTTTTGTGTTGGAACTAAGCTAACTTTACAACTATTGATTCTACCAACACAGATGTGTGCGTTCATTCGAATACATTCATTTGATGAAGGTTAGACATCCAGGTAAGCAATACAGTCAAACCTGCTCAAGCCGACCACCCAGGGGACCAAAGAAAAGTGGTCACCTTGGACAGGTGGTCTCCTTGAAGAGGGTCGCCTCACAACATGACTGAGACATAAATATTGTTTCCAAGTCAAGATGTTTTAATGTCAAGTGCTGTAAGCATCTTCAGTTCTGTGGTAAATGCATGTGGGGAGAGTGGCACATGGCACAATTTACATCAAACCAAGAAAAAACAATGTCCAGTCACTTGAAACGTCCAGAAATTATCTCTGTCACTGTGTAGTAGAGTTTGAATTTCCTATGAACATTTTACGATAGAACACTTTTGACTAAAGCCTCCATGTTATTGCATCTGGATGCCAAGTAATAATGTTTCCAATCCCAAAAACAAACCATGGCTACGAGTAATAAAAATGTTTCATTTACAAGGGATTGGAAGCAATCAAGATACAAGGACGCATCTGACGTGGAAAACACATCAACCAAGATTGCAACAAGAACATGCAGTTACTGTACTATAAAACACTTTAATTTGGCAGAGCCATACAATTTTGGTAATTTTGTACAGGCAAGCAAATAGGCTTACTTCCAGTAAAATGTAGTTCTTAATCAATTTTAGTCATAAAGTCTGTTCCTTTGTTTTTCCTTCAAATATGGATGGAGTATTGAAATTATTTAGAAAACAGCTGACAACAAACTTAAAGGGGCATTAAGTAACATTTTTGCACCGAAATTTGATTGAAAAAAACCTTGTATGATTGTAATTTACATCAACTTTTCAACATGTTTGTGCAATTATCTGACACTGCTGATATTTATGGTTGGTGCTAAAACAGTCGCACAAGACACACTCAGTTTGTGGTGCCACCACAAACTAGCAGAATGTAAACAAGCATGGCTGACAGCTGTGTTTCTAGCTTTTGAACACACTCTCAATCGGCATCATATTTTGGCACCTCCACTTTGAATTCCTGAATGGCACATATTTGCAATGGAGTAGGGTTGATTAACTTACTTGTTAAAGAAAAGACCAGAAAATTGACTTTTTGTATCATCCTAACGTTACATAATGCAACTTTAAGAGACAGGTCAAGATGTCTTTCATCAGATGTGGCAATGATTTATTTCCACGAGTTCCAACATCGGCAACGACCAACCCATTAACGTCAAGACAGTAGACCCACTTAATCCACTGTGTCTGGTGTCTCATCACAACCTGGTCATAAAAACACAAACACATAGCCTGGAAGCCATCCTACTTCAGCTCCAGGCTGGTTTCCTCATTCCTCCCCCACAGACTAGTCATTAATCATTTCAGGTATCAAGTATTTTTCTAATCTAAAGGCAGTTTAAAAGGGATTGAACCGCCCAATACCTGTTCTATGTTATCATGTAGTTACCAAAAACTGTTCGACTTTGGAACCAATCAGAAAGCTCCTACACGGATATTCAAATGCAGATTGGTTTTGTTCTAACTGGTACCAGACTCTTAGGAAGGAAGAAAACAGACGAGTGAAATGGGGCTAAAATTTGATATTAGTAGATTGACATCAATCACATGGATTATGCAGTTTTCGTACCATTAGGTTTTTGCCCGCGTGTAAATTGGGTCAAAGTTGTGAGGGGGCCCACATGTCCTTTTCCGTAGAGCCATTTCAATTCTACATAAAGCATAGACGGACCGTAGAGCGTAATTGGCACATTTTGTGTAGAACGTAATTTGACAGTTTTAATTCTATGTAATGCGTTGTAGAGCTATCCGGAATTTATCGAAAACCTAATGGGGAGGTTTCTTGAATTCAGCGTAACACGTAGCCGGCTCTCAAAATTTAGCGTCAGCACACCCCCACCCCCCATGCAGACCCTCTTGTGAGGATAACAACCTTCATGTACACAGTTATCACGGCAGGAAACAGGTTTGTCACCCACTCATTCAACTGTGGGCGGTTGTCTCAGACAGACTAGACTTAAACATACAAACAGTACGTACCCACACTTTCCGGTGGCAAAGTGGATATAGTCCTTTTCTCCACTGTGTTCAGTAAATCTGATACAGGTGTGTTGTTCCCAGTGGTCCATGGCTTGGCGGATCAGACGGATCAAGTTCGCTGGGGAAGAGATGACGACAATCAAGTTCAACAATTTTATATGTCAAACATGACTTTGTGAATGACATTGAAGTAACTCACGGACCATTTTTCAAAATTTGACTGCTTTTGGCAAAAAAACAATCTGTGACCATGCTTCACTCATGGAATATATTAGCCTGGGTGCCATCCGTTTTGTAACAGCTACCACGAAAAAAAGTCGGGGTAGCCGTTACAAATCGGATGGTACCCAGGCTATATTAGGAATATATAGCTCCACTAGATTAAGAACTCAACAATTGAATGCTGACCTACATGTATTAGACTTGAATCAATTTGAAAGTATCATGTCATGATAATTTTGAACTACATTAATTTTGTCATTAAACATGTTATTGAAACAATTGTGCTTTTTGTCTTTTTCACACTGCCATGTCATCATATTCAGAGCCATTAATTTAATACATTGAACTTTAATTATATTAAGAATTGTAAGATGAATTCAAATTTAAAGTGGAAGAAAATGTCTTTTGCAAATTAAAAGTAAAGCAGTTTGTTCTGAATCACAAAGGAAAAGGATACAAAATCTAAAAATTGTTGTGTTAGAACAAAGCGTGAACTCTACAACTATGGATTCTACCAACACAAATGAGCCTTTCATTCAAATAAGTTTATTTTATTTCATTTCATTTTATTTTATTTCATTTCATTTTATTTCAATTTATTTTATTAAGATTTACCAGATTTGTGGAAGGATAATTATTTACATTATTAATGTTTTAACATTACTGCAAATGTACTTACAATCAAACTTCTCACTGATGGTATATGGCACTGTCGCATTTGGCCAAAGCCGCTCGGGAAGACTGCTAACGGCTCGCGTGGGGCGCCTCTTTCCAGATTTCTTCTTCTTCGCAGCATCCAACGTATCGTTGTAGAAAGTTTTCCCGTCAAAAGTGTCTCGGTCGCTTTCCTCGTTCCAGAGAGGGGTGTGGTCACTACTGGAGTGAACGAACTCTTCAGGACTGATGGCTATGTCTCCTTCAATCACAACATTGTCTGTAAAAACAAGAGGAAACAAATTCTTACTTAGGCCAGAGCAAGTAAATTTTATGGATGACATCCTCTGCAGATTCCAAATCTAATGCGAGCGGGCAAAATAAAAACAAGGCAGGCCGAAAAAACAAGGTTCCTACATTATAAAATTTTGACTCAATCATGGTACAAATGGTTTTGATTCAGTGGGAACATCACATACTGTAATATACATGTACACAGCCAGCATCACGTCATTGCATCAAAGTAAGAAACAAAACATTAAATCAGAGCCTTTTATTGTCTCCTCTCTGCCATCCACCTTCCCGCATGGCTACAGACATCTTTGCCCATTTTCAGCATGTTGACCACAGTCAGAAGGCAACAAAATTTTTTTTTTTTTTTCCAAAATCAGGCAAAAATTAATGTGCGCGCTGATGTCATCCATAAAAATTACTTGCTGTGGCCTTACAACTACAAGGTGAAACTTTTTGGTACACCAAAAGCTATACCAGGTGAAGATTTGCTCTTAAGCTCTTGAGGACCTGCATGGGGGTTTCGAAAATGCTTTATGCTAAATTTAGGAGTGCCTATAGCTGCGAATTAAGGAAGAGACATGTTTAGTCAGAGAATTTTTCCCACCCTGCTACTACAAAATGTAATTATAGGAAATCAAATAGCTTTTACTTGAATCCTTTAAGAACTAGGAGAAATCGAAAGAGCTTGCCTGCGCTCTTCTGTCAGCTAACCTGGTTTGAGATCACTTTTTTCAATGCCTTAAAATTTCAAAGTTCAACTCAGAATCTGGTATCTGGACAGCAACTATTATTAATAATAATGATGATGTATATCATCCATTAGCAGTGAATTGATCTTGCATGATCTGAATTTCATAATCCATAATCATGGTTGGTCAAGTCTGCAAAGAAATCAGGTCACTGAATCTGAGGTAACATTACACTGATACGGCTGTATACATTGCATCTCTAGCCACATTGGTCTAACTGTATAAAGCCTCCAAGAGGTTATAATTGATATTATACAAGAAACTAGAAAGGGCAACATTTGCTTTGGAGCAAATGCAGCATGGCAGTATGGCAAAAATTATAATGAATTGTTGTTGGTAGATACATTAAGCACCAAATTTCAGATAGGTCTCCAATGACCCCAAATGTACAGATTTTGTCAGAAAATAGCAAAAAAAAACAAATAAAATAATTTAAAAGTCTGTATCCAAAAAAATGAAGAAAAAAAGTCTGGGGGTATTTGCCCACTCTACCTCCATGCGAAGTTTCAGGCCATTTGGCTGAAAACTTGAGTTGAATCCATTTAAAGAAATATCCTGGAGAAGAAGGAGGAGGAGAAGAAGAAGAAGAAGAAAAAAGAAGAAGAAACACCAGAGAACACAATATGTTTCACCACATAGTGTGGTGAAGCCATAATAATTCTAACTTTGACAAGCTATACACAACAGAACGTGACCAACTAAGCATGACTATCTCTGGGCTTGTCGCGATTTTCCATGACCCATCATCGATTTTCCCTCTCTTCGCTCCATCCCGAGAGAACAAAGCCATCACCTTGACGGTTCGCTGCCCGTTAACCTCGCCAACAGATGTCAAAACCGATCCATGCTCATTCCCGCGCCTTCCCGCGAATCTCGCAACATCAGCACCCAAAGTCAATACCATAAAATTAACGCTATGCCCCTTGCTCAATTTGTGATTTATATACTATTCAGGTAATGTAATACCAGGGATCCCTTCCGCATATTGGAAAATTTATATCGCAGTAGACAAAGTGGTAATGGGATATAAAGGGAGTATTAATCTTATTTCCCATGGGTTAAAGGGTCAATAACTTTTTTGTCAAGAGGCAGAGTCTCAGAGTGATATGGATTGAATGGACTGCTGATGGAATAAGATGCTAGTTTTATGCGGTCCTCAAGGAGGGAATCCAATGATGCTAGGACATTTAATAACATTGGTAACATTTGTCAATTATTGGCTGCTATTTGTCATATTTTCAATATAAATGATCTATATTTAGCTTTAAGGTGAGGTTTATTGAATTTATCATTCAAGTTGTAAACTTTCAGTACCACTGCATGGGAAACCATCATTCATTGAAAATCATAAAACTTTAACTTCAAAATTTTAATCTTTGGAAGATTATGGTAAGAAATATTAATTACTAGTCAAAAATTGTTCAATGCAAAAAGGTACTCTGATGCTTTAGCCATAAGCGATACCTATATCTAGTTAGGATAGCTGACACGGACCATTAACTCTTTCCTACCTCATGGCACCTTGTCTAGGGAACTTAATTGGCTTACATATTACATACAGTAATACGCTTAGTACAAATGTATGTATAATGTTGCAGTAACAACTTGTTTTTCCCAGTCTATTTGTTTTGACATGTTCTGGAATGGCTTGACCTAATTTCGATTTCAACATTTAGCAGCCACCATAATTTCTTTCCATCATAAGCAACAATGATGATATTACGCACTTAGGAATAAAGAAATCATGCACCTTTCATAAATGTTTAACTTCTTATCCCTCTGAAACGATCTTTCCTTTTACAGGAGGGGTCGATTTCAAATGCTTCATCTTTTTAAGCTTGCTGATATATTCTTACAGTACTGCTGTTGATGGTCTAAAGAAATGAAAACGTATTTCTTTTTTAATTGTCAAAGTTTCAATTTTTTTTCCAACAAGGGGGGCAAAATGATTGAAATGTCCATCTGGAGCAAAATTCTGACCACAAAACACTAGTAGACCCTTGATGATATATCCCCTTGAGAGCTAGTATTTAGGCTGTTGCTATTACAGTAACTATTTGATACTGTCCTTCAGTGGAACCATCATTAAGTCATCCGTCTAGCTAAGAAGGAGACACCTCTACAGCACATCAGGGGCTCAAACCACCTCGGGAGCATCAGAGGAGGATTAGAGTAGAAGCATGTCTCTGGTGTGAAGGGATTAAAGCTTAATCCTCTGGTCCTTACCTGGATATTGGGGTCAGTGGAGGTATACATGCATGCAGAGAGGATGAGTAATGCCCAGACCCTTACCTCCTGGTGTTTCAGGCAAGACGATACCCTTGACTAGAATGTACCAGCTAAGCCAACTGGCCATGGGCATTCTGTCTTAGTTACCATGACCCTGATATACATAATTATTACCTTCGCCAAGAAGGTTATGTTTTCAGAGGCGTTTGTGTATGTGTGTGTGTGTGTGTGTGTATGTATGTGTGTGTGTGTGTGTGTCTGTAAACACGATAACTTGAGAAGGCCTTGATGGATTGTCTTGATACTTGGTAGGTGGGTAGGTCGTGATGAGACCTGAAAATGATTAGATTTTGGACCCCCTGGCGGCTTGTTATGGTACTGCAGCTGAACTTCTGGTTTTGATATCATATGATCTAGACCAGGATAGTGAGTGAGTGAGTAGACATGCTAGGGTGACAAAATTTGGATTGTAGGTATTCCCAGCATTGACTTGTGCTGGGAAAGAAGCAACGTGAGTTTGGGCCCCTAGTGGCTTGCTCTGGAACTGCAGGGCTACATGTTTTTTATAGGATTCTTATGCTGGTTTCAATGGCATAACCATGTAAGGCACCACAAAAAAGTGGCCACATTGACTATATTGAAAAGGCAGTCCTTATGTAAGAGTGGTCTCTTGCATAGGTTTGACTGTACAAGCTAAAGTGACCTGTATTGTATACACATAGGTTTGACTGTACAAGTATAGAGAGACAGAGAGAGAAAGAAAGAGACAGAGAGAGAGACACACACACAGACAGAGAGACAGAGAGAGACAGAGAGAGAGACAGTGAGAGGGTAGAGAGCAAGAGAGAGAGAGAGAGACAGGGACAAAGAGAAACAGAGTCTCAGCGAGAGAGGGAGACAGAGAGACTGAGGGAAAAAGAGAGAGACAGTCAAAGCATGCCCGTAGCCAGGGGGGGTTCGGGGGGTTCGGAAGAACTCCCCCACAAGGCTCAAAGGTCCACTTTTTGGTCCACTTTTTATGTAAAGGTCCACTTTTTGGTCCACATTTTATGTAAAGGTCCACTTTTTGGTCCACATTTTATGTAGAAAAACTGCTCCCTTTGTCATTGAATAAAAATTTGTCTCTGATTTTTTCTTGGAAATCCTCTCAAAAATGCACGAAATGCCATTTTAGAAGGTTCATTTTTCAAAATTTTCCGTGGGAGCATGCCCCCGGACCCCCCTAAGAACCTCGCACCTACGGCGCTCGAGGTCCCCTCAAGCAGTGGGAAGAACCCCCCCATTCAAAATCCTGGCTACGGGCATGCAAAGAGAGACAGAGTGAGAGTCTCAGTGAGCAAGAGAGAGAGAGAGATTCAAGGTTTGTCTCAGTACAAGAAAAATCTCTAGTGACTTAAAATCCTACATGTACATGTATATAGAGCATGGTAGCAGAACATATACACATCTGCATCTTCAAAACAATGACCAAGGTCAACATCACCAAATCTTACTTTTGTATATCAAATATTTGCTTCCACAACTATCAACAACTTGCCTGGGTAACCTTGAATTCTGCTAGCTTGAGCTGGCTGACCTAGTTTTGCGTAGGCATGCCAGGAACACCAGGCATTCCATATTTGTCATTTCTGAAGTCCCCCTGGAATTTAGCACTGACAGTAATTGATAACATCACACTTTAATATACCCCTTTAGACCCTACAACATATCCCTATCTGTCCTAATTGACTGGAAAAACGCAATCCATTTTATAACAAGAGGAAAAGAAAAAAAACTTCCCACTATGTTGTTTGCAGGGCTGGAAATACTGGGTGCATGTGCACCCAATTATTTTATGTAGGTGCACCCAAATATTTTCGTAGGTTAACGTATGATGTTAAATGTATTGTAGTATAACTATACAGCATATTCTTAACATCTGAGTGTTAGAAAAATAATGAAATCATTGTTATAACACTTTCTTAAGAAATAAAACATTATTAGTTTTTGCTGTTCTTATTTTATCTTA